GTTAGCTTTATATATAATATATGTATAAAAATAGATTAATTTTAAAATTTTAATACAATCACTTGGGTTCGGATTTTGTGGGTTTTACCTTTTCCAAAAACGGAATCCAAACCGAAATTTTCGATTTTTTAAAAAAACTTAAACCCAAAACCCACAGCAAAGTAAATAACAAAGTGTATGTTGTGCATATTTATGATCTTCATTTTTCTACTTTACCCTCTCTGTGAAATGAGGTAGAAAGAACAGGTATTGATGATTGGAGTGCAGAGTAAGCTCGAACAACAATTTATTTATAGACATTTAAACATCCCATGTAAGAGACATATGTGCTGTTTGATAGGCGTGAATAAAAAGAAGGAATTAAAAAAGCTTGCTAATCGATTTTAATAGTCATTCAAGCGTTCATCAAGGTTGAAACGCTCATAATCGATGAAAATGATCATCAATAATCTGAAGTGGGGTATCAATGAAAAGTACGTAGTGTTTTCCTTTTCATTTTCTCTGTATATATATTTCCAGCATTTGCAAAATTTGTATTGATGTTGATTGAAGATAGAGAAGCATTGTGCTATATGTGTAGTTGATTTGTCCACCAACTGTTTGACGAAAATCCGCATCTGCTTACTTCCCATAATTTTCCATATTGAGCTGGATATTGTTTAGTTAAAACTGCAATTTCATTTTAGTTTGCTATGTATACACATTAAAAAATAGTTCAATACATATCGATTGAAGGCAAACGGGCAACAAGCTGCGCCGCTAGCCCTTTCTGGATAGCAAAACCAATTCTTTATTTTGCTCAATTGAAAAAAAAAGTACCAATTATATATAATATGTGTATGTTTTTGTGTTTGTTAGTTACCATAACCCAACCATTATGGTATAGTTAATAGTTTGTATTATGGTTTTTTGTTTATCCAGAGCTTACTAGGCTAGTTTGTTACATTGGGTTTTAAGGTGTTATATCATTGCAAAACTGCAAGATCTAATCCATGTCTGCCTTTTTCTGCAGATAACTTATTAACCACATCCTTACTTCTTTGCCCAACCCGAAAGTTATTATAAGGATTGTTTTGGTAATTTTTCAAATTTCTAAAATATTAAAAAGATTTGAAAAATTTACGATTTTCTTATAAAAGGTTAGGGCAAGTTTGGTTCCTGAAATATACTTTGTTTTCCCAGAGTTTGAAATTTTTGAAAGCATGTTTGGTTTAAAAGTTTTCTAGAAAACCAATTTTCTAAATTACAAATCATTTAAACAACTAATAAATATTGTTTCCACACTTTTTCAATTGGAAATATTTTCTAAAATAGTAACCCCACCGGCTAATAGTTGTTAAATAAAAAGTTAGTTAATAGTTGAAAATCTAACTGATAAAGTGACGTTTGGTATAACTATTTGAAAGATATAAAATGACATAAAATAACATTTAAAAGAATATGTTTCTATAATTAATTTAGGAGTATATTTGGAAAATTTTAAAAAAACTAATAAAAAGGTAGTCTAAGTATCTTTTTAAAAAGCTAGTTTATAAGCTATTTTTTATTTTGCGAAACGTGACAACTTAAAAAAACTCGAAAAATAAATTAGCTTATTAGTTAGCTGTGGCGCGCCAAAAACAAATTAAACTTATAAAAATAAAAATTAAATAACATTTTTTATGGTAAAAAAGAAAGTTGTAAATATTTATTAAATGTTTTAATATTTAAAATAAAATTATGATTTTTTATATTAACATTTACACATAAAAAATGTTTTCTAAATTAAGATTTTATCTTTTAATATGTTAGTAAAAGTATTTAACTAATTAACAAATGAAAATAAATTAAAAACAACAAAAAAAAACGAAAATAAATAATGATTGAAACACTCATACCAAAAACTTAATGGGTAATAGCATAAACGACACTTAGTTTACACCAAAATTCTAATTTGACACTGTGTTTTTTTTGTCTCAAATTTGACACTGCGTTTTTCAATTTGTTACAATTCTGACCACTTGACCGGTCAACCAGGTTACATGCTGACGTGGCATGATGACGTGTCGGTTTTGATGACGTGGCATGCTGACATGATATGCTGACGTGTCAAAATTGAATTTTTTTTCCACAAAAAACACTATGTTTTCACTTTTTTCGATTTTGACACTAAGTTTAATTTTTTCTTTTAATTTTGACACTACGTTTTTTTGTTCCAAATCGAACATCATTTTTTCCAATTTTGTTCAATGTTGACAATTTTTTATTTGAAACCATATAAATATTTTTTTAATACATTTAAACCGTATAAATACGTTTTTTTTTTCAATTAAAAACCATATTTTTGTATAAATACAAGGTTTTTTTTACATTCAAACCATAATTTTATGTATAAATATGTATTAGTTATATAAAAACCGTATTTTATATTAAATACGCAACTTTGAAATGAGTTTGAAGGTTTGGAGGCGTGTAGTCGATCAAAACCCGGATATCAAGTTTGCAACTCGTGAAATTTTTGCATCTTATTAGAAGCTTATGGTTAGTTTGATTCTCATAATATAACTAATGCATATTTATACATTATGCTTTGAATATTAAAAAAAAACAAAAAAAGAAATACCTTGTATTTAAATAAAAATGTGGTTTTTAAACGAAAAAAATATATTTATACGGTTTAAAATGTAATTAAAAATATATTTATATGGTTTCAAATGGAAAATGGTCAAAATTGAACAAAATTTGATAAATGATGTTCGATTTGGAACAAAAAAACATAGTGTCAAAATTGAAAGAAAAAATTAAACTTAGTGTCAAAATCGAAAAAAAATGAAAACTTAGTGTTTTTTGTGGAAAAAAAATTCAATTTTGATACGTCAGCATATCATGTCAGCATGCCACGTCATCAAAACTGACACATCATCATGCCACGTCAGCATGTAACCTGGTTGACCGGTCAAGTGGTCATAATTGTAACAAATTGGAAAACACAGTGTCAAATTTAAGACAAAAAAAATATACAGTGTCAAATTAGAATTTTGGTGTAAACTGATTGTTTTTTATGCTATTTACCCAAATTTAATTATAGTAAATTTGGCCCTAAGAGCCTAATGGTTGGTTGATGTGCAGGCGGTCCAAGCCGATTTGAGTTCCAGGGCAAAATAAAAGATGAGGCCCTTCAAATTAAATACAATTACAAGTGAAATCACTAGAATTAATGTATGTAACAGTAACGTGTACTAATTCACTAAAATGTTCAATCATTTATGGCTGCTAAAACTTAAAAAGTAAACTTTGTCGATGAATGCATGTCTCGAGGCTTCAAGTTTGGATAAATGCATCTTTCTCGATGCATAACATAGTCGGGCCGGTCCGCAAAAACGCTTAACAAATCCCATGCATTTGTACCTTATTATACATCGGTCCATTAATGAAGCCGAATACAAACTAGCAATTTCAAATATACTTGATTAACGCAAGCTGAAAATAAGATATATTGACAAATTTTAAATGACCATATTGTTAAGAAGGAAGACTCTAACATCAATTCTAAACTAAAAATTTGAATCTACTTGATATATAAATATTGAATTTTATATTAAATTATTACTAAATTAAATAATCAATAACTATTTGACTCTAAATACAGAAATTTGCATAATAAAAGTAAAATTAGCAAATAGCATAGAAATTTGAAAAAGAAAAATGACCAAGTTTACTTACAGAAATTGCATGGATTATAAATAGCAAATTAACTCTAATAAATTGCAAAGTGATTCTAATAACACGCAGTTAGTAATAGCAAATTAAAGAAACAAAAACACTTCAGATACAATAGGAGCAACTGCTAAGAAAATACAATATTTTGTACAGATCTGAAACCGAAATTATTTTATTTTATTTTTTTTGAACGGAAATCGGAATTAGTTATCCACATAAGAACATAGAAATCTGTACTTACATTTACAATCACTGAACTTAGAAATCAGAACTAAGCAAAACTATTGTACTAACACTTATCATTGTATTCAGAAATCATAACTTAGATACATTAATCTGTTTACTCGGATATCAGCAAGGATTGAAATGAAAATCAAACTTCAGAAAACATTCACCGGCGACTAGGGCTGGGGTGATAATCTTAATTTGAGAGACCGGAAGAGGGTAGCAAAATAGTTGTGCCGTGTGCGTCGAGGCCTTAGAATTAGATCACATAATTGGTAAGACGGTTCATTGCTTCTTGATAATTAAGAAGTCGTCTTGGGACGTACACAAAAAATTCCTATATTTTCAAAACACGTAAAAGGAAAAGTCGTCTTGGGAGGCGTACAAATCAAAGCTCGTGCATCTTAACCATCTCCACTCAAAGTGTAATCATGTTTTGCTGGCATATCAAATCAAAGTGTATATACATATACACTAATCAAATCATTTAGGGACCCCGAGATTTGGCGAGGCCCGGGGCAATCGTTCAGCTTGCCCGTGCTCTAGGGCCGGCCCTATTGATTTGTAGATCTTCATATACAAATATTTTGGGTTCATTCTCGTTAGTATAAAATATTATTGGTGTTTTGCAATTGACATCTCATTTAATGAGACATTAAGATACGAGACAAAATCAATTATGGTCGTTCAAATTATACAATTTACGATTTACTATTTTTTATGTCTATAATTTGGTTAAAAAGCTTTCGAATTAAATTTCTTATGATAAAAAAGATTTTTTTCAATGTTTTTTAAAAAATTAAAAAACTATAGAAAAATCTTTCATTAACCGTCTAACCTCAAAACTATAAGAAATAAAGAATACGACAAATGCCCAAACAATTTTCTCCAAAAAGAAGCTAAAAAGATGCCACTTCCATATATTGTAACATTTTGCTTTCTATGTTTGCACACCAACTTTATTCATAAAACATGACAAATTAATTTTAACAAAACAATTAATAATCCCTTCTCGAGAAATCTGCCTTATCGAATACGTGGTGGGTGTCTGGTGGTGGTGGCGGCGGCAACACCAACTAAACATATTCATGTTTGTTCCTCTCATGGAACCTCCGAATATAATCTGAAGCCTCAAGATTTGTGACAGAAGTTTTTAGCTCACTCGTTAGCATACCACTACACCAACTTGCATCATCATCATCTGATATTCTAATGTCACGGTGGTCGTTTCCCTGAATCTTGATGAAAGAAGAGCTCCCTCCACCTTCTAAACCATGAAAATGGCGGCTATTAGGCGTCTTTAGGGTAGTGGTTCCGGGTTTTATGACCGGTGGTGAAGGTGAACTAGTTGATCTAACATCGTTTCCGGTTAGAAGGAACGATGAAAGTTTTTGGAAGCTTCTAATAAGTTGCATAAGCTTCTCACACGGCGATCTATTCTGTTGGGTATAATGGAAGGACACGTTTGAAGTGGATTTGAGCAATATATATAGGTTCACACGTGTATTTTGGTATTTACATGAATTGGGTTGAGAAGTCTCGTATATGAAAGGAAATAGAGATAAAATAAAATTAAATAAATAAATAAATAAAAGTGGGAATTATTTTGTGGGGTATATCGGTTTAAGGACAAATTGCTTGAAAGTGTGAAAAAGTAAAGGCCTTTTCTTTTGTTGAGAAATGAGTGTGAAATTGAAAGGAATAAACTTTCAAGAAACCACAATATCCTGGAGAACCATATAGCTCTTGTATGGGGAAGGAGAGTAAACCTTTTTGAAATAAGTAAATGAAAGTTATGGTATGTTGAACTATAGATTCTTTTGTAGGCGGTTATATAAATATAATCAAATTGTGGGAAAATACCATAGCTTACTGTAGAAAACAAATTAACCCCTAATGACTCGGGTATGATAATATATTGGATTGTGACTATTACCGATGTTAATAGGACAAAAATTGTAATTTTTTGTCACAACAAATAAGGCAGGATAGTGGTTCGCTCTCGATCCTCAACTTTGCAAAAGATGTTGATGTCTTCTTCATCATCGTCATCTAAAATAGTTTTATAAATATTTCTAGTCATGTCTAGCATAACAAATACATTCTTATTCACAATATGCCATGTTTTCATTGTATGCCAAAAAAGGTATCATTCAAGCCAACAAAACTTAGAAGAAGAAAAGAAAAAGAATAAATATAATGTGAGATTAGTGATAGACTGATAGCACTTGATTCCATAGGATTCCACCTATGGAATGTGGATGGAGATTAAGTTGTGATCTTGATAAAGAAGACCATGCAGAAA